GTAACTGAATTTTCACTCATATATATTTTTTAAAACACACACACACATAGATATATATATATATATATATATATATATATATATATTGTGTAAATAATAAGCATTAAAAATAAGTATCACATGTGGCCTATAAAATAAACGAAAGAAATAAATAAGCATACCAATAGAGTTGTCTAATCCGGTTCATCCATAATACATACATCAAACCTCACCAGCAAGAATAAGACTACAAACAAGTAGTTACGACAACTTTGATCATATAAGACCAAATCTTGGAGCCTACAACCATAAGATATTGAGAAAAAAAAAGAAAAGGAGAGATTAGTTAGTCATAGCAAGTAATTCATACAATAACTAATTGCAATCACCCCATAATAGCAACCATGTATTTGTGAAATCAGAGTCCAGGAAAATCATTAAATGTTCTTAATATACATACATAATAGACAAAAATTGGCAGACCCACATATAATACACACATAATACATATCAAAGACAGGGACAACTAATAAAAATGAACACACATAACAAATATAGACACAAACCAACAAAGTCACGACACACTCACATAGAACAAGTGAGATATACAAAAATAAACACACATAGACAGACACAAATACAAACACATCCAAAAATAGAGACAAAAATAAAGCACACATACACAAATAAAGACAAACGCATAGACAAAGATAAATCACAAAAAGACACAAACATGACATAGACACATATCACTTGCAAAGAGACACATAAAGCATACATACAAACACAAATACAAGTAATGAACAATTTAAGGAGGGTGTATTGGTTTAAAATTTCATAGGATTTTAAAAGACTTTTTTTGAGTAAAAAAGTCTATTGATATTTGATCAGGATTTTATATCACTTAAAAACAATCCAGTGATATTCAATCGAGATTTTCAAGATTTTTTAAAGAATTCATTAAAATCCATTGGTATTCATTTGAGACTTTTTACAACTTAAAAAAAAAATCCATTGATATTCAAAAATATAAATATTTTAAAAGATTGTTGTATTAGAGGAATTTTGAAAGATTTTTTAATGGTATCTATAAATACCAAATGAAAATCCTTCAAACTCTTCTACAATCCATGAAAATCGCAAGACAAAAAAAAAAATACATACCATAGTATAATTTTTTTTCACAAAAAAATAGCAATTTAAAAATCATGTAATAGAAAAATTACTAAGACTAACTGTTACTATAATCTTAAGAAAGTTAATACATTAAAAAGGATTAAATATGTTTTTGGCCCTCAAATTTAGGATAAATTCGTTTTTTGTCCCTCCAATTTAAAATTATTATTTTCAATCTATGTAATTTCAAAAAAAATCTTATTTTAATTCAAATTTTGTTAAGAAAATTATCATTGCATAAAATTTACCTATTTGTGTTCCTGTTAGTGAAAACAACACACTAAATCTGGTTGATTGCATAATTATTTTAATTAATCACTTTCAAATATAATATTAGTGTCCTGAAGGACTAAAACAAATTTTTTGAAAATTACAAGAACCTAAAACAATTTTAAATTTGAAAGACTAAAAACCAT